CCTTCCCCTTTTTAGGTCCAAAGATTTCATCAGTGCCATGTTCTCAAACACTCCTCATTTACTTTCTTGTCTGAGGGCGAGAGATAGTGTTCACTTTCGTACAGAATAACAGGAAAACTTTACTTTCGCGTCTATTATTATTTATGTTTTTGGATAGGAGATGACAGTTTAAAAGATTCTGAACGAAATGGTAACGTTATCTTTTATATCAGGATGATAGACTCTGGGCGTTGTCCGACGTGGTGACAGATGACACCGCCTGCAACAGCTCTTCTCTTGTTGCGTGTTTATTCGTTGCCTATCAGTGGCTCGCTTCTCTGATATAGGAGGGTGGTTACAGTGCCATTGCTTAGCAACGGATGACATCATGTCTCAATATCATTTTCTTCATGTTAATCCGCCTCTGTGGTCCAGTGGTCAGAGTTCCTGTCTATAGATCCAGAGGTCCCGGGTTCGATTCCCGGCGCTACCAGATTTTGTAAGAGGTAGTGGGTCTGGAACGGTGAGGTTAATTGAGGAGGTACTTGAATTTAAAAGTAGCGGCTTCGGTCTAAAAAAGGATATTAACGCCTGTAGGAATCCGTTGCGATTACCACGCGACACCCTCTATCCGCAAAAATTGGCACTGACTTCTTCGACAAAAGGCAGTCGCTCGGTCAGTATAGTTAGCTTTCGGACTAAAAGCCACGGAGTTTGCCATGTTAATATTTTCCAATGCAAACGAGAATATTGTGTTATAGTATTTTGTATTTTACACAGATTTGTGACAGAGGTAAATTAGGAACAAGTATTTGTAAAATACCAGTTCTAACACATCTTCAGAATTTTACATTAAAGAGCGTTAATGATGTTACCAAATCCGGATTGTGGAACGCTTCCCTGTTGTGTGGAGTGTTCTTGTAGTAGGCATTTAAAGACAAAGAATTCGTTGCGTCTTCAAATAGCATAATTTTTACAGGCTGTATTGCGAGGACATGCATGCGGAGCTTCTCCCTCCCTGAAAAGTGGGTTCTCCTTCTGGAGACCATGCCGAAAGGGCACCGGATTTAGGCGAGATACATTAACACGTCTCATAAGTTCTTATTACAAGCAGAAAAGGTAACCGTCGACGTTAGGTCTGACGGTATGCAACATTGCTCTTCATTCTTTAGAGTAAACATCTGTTAGTCAATAAGGAACTTGTTCACAACATTCTTTAGTGCCATTAAACGGATGGTAATGTTCGATGAAATAGGCCTTGACCGTGTCCTCCATTTTTTTTTGTTCATCCTATACGCCAGTACAATCTATCTTCTCCGCTCGACACCGAACAAACGTTGCATTTAAATAGCCTTCCTGAACGTTTCAAGAATTTGATGAGTAGTGTATTCTGGAATGAGACGCCGTGTAGATTGATAGAAGTTTGGTGAGGTTACAGAGGAACATGCTACCTTGATCTTCAGGCTATCAGTCAATAGAAGTCATCAGAACATAATCATCTTCAGAGTCAGCCCCGTGAGAACTTCAAATCTCACTTTCAGGAACTTCGTCAAGTATTACTCTCGGGTCCTTTGTCTTGTGTTGATTCGGAATTGCTTCTGAAGTGCTGATTTCCATAGATGTATCGTATGGTTCCTTAAAAGGGAGGGGGGGTCCTCTGTGTTAATATCTGATATATCATCTCGTCATCATGGGAAAACAACCCGTTTTGAGCCATAGCCTTGCGTAGAAGGTTCTGCTAGATTTGTTTGTTCCCAGCTACAGATGATCCGGTTTTCGTTTCTTTGGATTTCCCAACAATGATATTTTTAACAGAACAAGGTCAGTGTTTATAGACAATTGACAATAAAATATCCTCGTTAAAAACGTTTTTGAAGTGCCTAAGTACATAAAACTTTCAGACACATTTTCCTCTATTTATATAATTTTCTTACACTGATAGCAGTTTGAAAAAAAAAGTATTTTTTTAAACTTGAAACAAACCCACACATTTTTGTTGCATTTACGTATCCTCGGGACGTCTCTCGCATGCCCCAAAGTGTACGCGCACCACCGGTTGAGAAATACTGGATTACAGGTTCTCTGGATGACTGGTCTTTGTTAAGAAGAAGAAGAAGGAGAAGACGGAGGAGGAGGATAATAATAATAATAATGATAATAATAATAATAATTGAGAAAATATTTGGAACTAATTCCTGGAAAGCACTCCATAGATTCACTGCAAAAAACAGCTATCCTGGGAACATCACACATACTACGGAAAGTGCTACAGTGTGAAGCTTGAAGCCTGAGTGGTGAGGTGCATCACTGGTTCAAGAAAAGGAATACCAGGAAATAAACCTGTGACAAGAGATGATGATAATAATAATAATAATAGCAATAACAACAACAACAACAACAACAATAATAATACTGTTCCTGTTCCGTACATAGGGGCATACACCGATGGTATTGCTCCCTCAAAAGCTAAAATAAATACCAAATTAGTAATCAAAGTTAAGGTATCGCCCATAGCTCAAGCGGTTAGTCGCTGGCTTCCCACCGCGGCGGCCCGGGTTCGATCCCGGGTCTGGTCAAGTGGGATTTGTGGTGGGAAAAATGGCACTGGGGCAGGGTTTCTCAGAGTTCTTCGGTTTCCCCTGCCAATCTTCATTCCACCAATTGCTCCACAGTCACCCCCACCTATCATCTGGGGCTGGTACGATAGGCCAGAAGTAGCCGCAGTACAAGAGACTTAGTCCCACCCCACTAGCAATAAAATAAAGGTATCGATTAACCTAGAAGTAACTTAATGAAGGATCAATGTGGGTTGTGACATAACAGATCAACTACAGGTCAGACCTTTTGCATTCGTCAAATATTGGAGAAAAAATGGGAGTACAGTGAGACAGTACATCAGCTATTCATAGACTTCAAGAAAGCCTATGATTCAGTTAGGAGGGAAGTACTGTACAATGTTCTGATAAGAGTTTGGGATACCCTTGAAACTAGTTAATCTGATTAAAATGTGTTTAAACGAAACTTATAGTAAAGTCCGTATAGGTAAACAGTTGTCTGATTCATTTCCTATCCAGAATGGTCTAAGAAAAAGAGACGCTTTATCGCCACTCCTTTTCAACTTTGCTTTAGAATATGCCATTAGGAAGGTCCAGGAAAACCAGGTGGTACTGAAATCAAACGGGACACATCAACTGTTGGTCTATGCCGATCATGTGAATCTACTGGGTGATAATGTAGATACCATAAAGAAAAACACACAAGCTTTATTTGACCCAAGTAAGGAGTTTTTTTTTGTTGCTAGTGGGGTGGGACTTAGTCCCTTGTACTGCGGCTACTTTTGGCCTATTGTACCAGCCCCAGATGATAGGTGAGGGTGATTGTGGAGGAATTGGTGGAATGAAGATTGGCAGGGGAAACCGAAGTACTCGGGGAAAACCTGCCCCAGCGCTACTTTATCCACCACAAACCCCATTTGACCAGACCCGGGATAGATCCCGGGCCGCCGCAGTGGGAAGGCATCGACTAACCGCTTGAGCTACGGCACGAAGACCAAGACGTAGATAGATGGACAATATTAAACTGGATCTTAGAGAGATAGGATGGGATGGTATGGGTTGGATTGATCTGGCTCAGGATATGGACCAATGGAGGCCCCTTGTGAACACCGTAATGGAACTTTGGGTTCCATAAAATGTTTGGAAATTCTTGAGTAGCTGCAGATTTGGCTTCTCAAGAAGAGCTCAGCTCCATAAGTAAGGAAAGTATTGATTGTCATAGAAACTTGGAAGTGTCATTTTATAGAAGCCAATATTTTCTTCCTTCCGGAACGCGACTTGGCGTTCAGTTTGCTCTTCTTTTGAGTGCATTGTGGTTGGTAATTCATGCTTGTTTTGTTGTTTGAAACTGCACGTTTTTTCCCAACAGATGGCAGAATGTTCTATATATTCAGCACCATCTAGTGACAAATTATTGTACTGTTTGGTGCTGTACACTGACTAGCAAAATGTTGTGTAATTATTTTTATTTCGGTATACAGTCCTGTAGATATAAGTTACTGTTCGAGCCCTTTGAAGGACAAAAGAACTTCCAGCTTTTCCTTACGGAGGAAAAGACACCTTTCATTGTACAGCCCCACGTTGAGATTGACTGGGTAACACGCCACTTTTATATTCGAAAGGTTTTGGCTTTAAATCTCGTTCTGGCGGTTTGATATTCTGCCTGAGGTTTCGCATGGTTTCTTTCAGTACCTCCAGATAGATGCTGGGATAGTACCTTAAACGATCCCATGCCCACTTCCTTCCACATAATTTCTGTTTCATCATTAACTGATAAACGAAACATTCGAATCCATACAGTCTGATCTACTGGAATAATCATTATATCATTATAAATATATAAATAAAGTCCATACATTCTTAACCTTGGCTGCAGATGGAGGTGATTGTTTGTAATTAGGATCAGTGTAGCGTGTTACAGCCCACAGAATTCGCCATAAAATGATTTATATGCAGATTACTTGTCTTTTGGGACGTAACATCAAGTAGTCTGGTAGATATATCACCAACATTTTGAAGTTACCTGCTCCTCCATCTCCAGGGTAGAAGATTCTTTAAGCCTGAAGATTGAGGCAGTATATCCCTCTGAAACACTGGTAATGATCGACCAGAGTGCATGGTGTCACATTTCAGGAGACGTTATTCTTAATAGTGACTGCTATGGGATCCTCAGTTGTGAGAAAACATTTTTTAAACGACTCCATCTCTGCCATCTGTATTTCAGTTTATGGTTTTAGGGCATGGAAGTAACCTTTATTTGGGCATTAACAACTAATATATGAAATTACAATATTTATTTCATATCTTATATCTATGTTAATATTCATCACATAATCAGACAGTTATTTTTGTGTTAAGGTCACCGAATTGAGGTGCCAGATAAAGAACATGGCAACAAGTCAGCTTTGAATGCCCTTAGTATGTTAACCCCACACAAAGTACATGAATTTGTGCTGTTTGCTTCAGGACGGTACAAAGAGCGCCTGGTGACTGCCTGTGTGGGAATACAAGCGATCCAGATCGGGAACCAGGACCATCTCATCACGTTATGGGAAGAATATTCGAGTCATTGAATGCATCAAGTGAGTACAATGAACATGGATTGAAAGGTACCAGTGTGCTTCTACGTTTAGAGGTTAATTAATGATGCATCAAGTGTGGTGGTTATTTAACATAATTGTGTGGCTTGTTGACCCACTGCTAGGCAACGACTGCGAAGTAAGCAACTATACAACAACCGTTGCAAAATAGCGGCTCCCCAAATAAGCATGTTTCCAGGGCAACAGTTGCACTGCAACAGAGGAAATGTGTTTTATATGCGACCCGCGGCTAGACGCTATAAGCAGTACACTTTAGGAGTCTCATTTTAGTGAGTGAGTTCGTTGGTGAGTTTGTGAAGTGGGTTGGTTGGTGAGTGAGTTGATGAGTTGGTGAGAGGAGTGCTGTGGTTCAGTCGTTGTGAGCTCTTGTTGTTAGAAGCTGGTAGCTGAGGCACGGGGATAGTTCAGGAACCCAGAGGAAGGGAACGTCTGCCTTTGGAAGCCGCTACTGAGCAACGGCATTGAAAACCTGACTGTGGACTATTACCACAAGAGTTCAGTTGGAAAAAAAGAAATCTCTGGTTGTCGTCCTCAAGGGGCCTGACACCAAGACGAATTGATTGGTCGTAAACCACCAGTCGTAAAGTAACTTTGACTTTGAAGATTAGAGGTAAACCATCTTCTCGTCAGAGAGGATGTTATGTGAGGTCTATTACCAGTGGCTCAGTTGAAAAGAAATCTCTGGTTTTGCTTCTCAGGAAGCTTTATGCCATAACCAACTTATTGGCGGCAAACACCCAGTTGTAAAGTAACTCTGGCTTGGACTCTGACTTTTGAGCCTGCAGTTAGAAGAGTAGGCGTTAGTTGTGAGAAGTCGCTGGCCAGTAAGGACATGAACAAAGAAGCTGAGGAAGCTACAACGTTGGAAGCCGTTACCAGGCAATAACCAGTGAAGATACAGCGGACCGAGAAGGCTTCTTACGTGCTTTACTGAACTGTGAGTGATGTGAATTAGCGATAGCGCTATAGTTTCTTGTAGTTATAATCTGTAATTGTTCAATAAATCCAATTACCAGTCCGAACACCATCTATAGTCACTCATACAAGTGACGATATAACCAGCACGATAAAGACAGCATCATTAAATAACCTAAGAATGAGTTATGTAACATCACATGAAGTGCGTGAATGGTTATTGGTGATAACAATTGACAGGGTTTGGGAAGAAGAGGCTTTGGCCCACTTCGAAGTATTACTCCATTGTTCATCTTGATGCTCTGGAGAAAGCCAAAAACAACTCAGTTAAAATAATCTATATTCAAAGAAAGGGTCTTCCAAATTGAGTCATGTTATTACTGGAGCTGATGTGCTGTGTGCAGTTTCTCTCATAGAGTTGTAGCATGTAGCCGTCCGCCGACGTACAGTTGCCACGACTTTCGCTCGAGCTTGAGTTCTTAATCGCAGGATACGGGTGCTTCGGATATGGGAGTGGAACACACTTCGGGGTTTATGAATCCGGGGGCTCCAGAACACACCGTGGATTGCAGTTTTAATTTAAAGTTTAATTAATGATCAATATTTACATTATTCTCGAAGCTAGCCGCTCCGTCCGCCGACTCGCTACCACTACTGTAAAACACTTCTCTGTTCTCCGTCTATCTTTGAACAACTGTCCTCCTCAGCTCCCTATAACTGACTTCCCTCTCTTTACCAGTCCCCCAGTTGGCCTAAAAACGAAACATACAAAGAGAAAGCGAAGGATCGAGCCCGACATCTGTCCTACATCCGTATTTTGGAGATACCCATAAACCTTTGTAGGTCTTCAAGGCACACGAGCAGGGAACTCAAGACCCCTCCTGGCCGGTCTCGCAGAAGGTCAGTTTATGGGTTTATGATACCAGGAGCAAACTGGCGACTTTAGGTACTATAGTGAAACCCTAAGCCTAAGGAGGACAATAGCTGGTTAAACGATGCATTAGTTGTTCGTACCCTTAATTAAATACTTTTGGCGAGGGACGTACAGTTACAAGCATCATTATCATTATTGGCAAATCAGCCCTTTTAGATTCTGCTAAATTTGGTATATTTTTCACTTGTTTGGATTTCTCAACAAGGAGGGTCACGTTTTTGTATTTATGTCTCCCAGAGATGGGGTGGCCAAGTTATACTCCCAGGGACTGGGTTCCCCTTTCGTTGCCTTGTACGATTCGCAGGGCTACGGTGAAAGTATTCTAGTAACTCGCCTCCACAGGGGAGATGTGTAATATTGAACTTATTTTTGAAATATACAAAGTAAATATATTCGGTGTTAATATTTTCGGTCACTTATTCGTGTATTAGTTGCTCCATAATCAGCTCTGAAGTCTAAACACTGCAGATATATTTCCCCTTTTGAAGTGATTTATAACTAATAAACTCCGTAGTTTCAGTCCGCAAGCGAACTATACCGACCGAGCGATCGCCGCTTGTCGACAAAGTTAGTGCCAACTTTAGCGGATAGAGGGTGTCGCATCGTCAGCGCAACGAATCCCCGCGGCCGTCAATTTCGGTTTTCTAGACCGGAGCCGCTATTTCCTTGAAATAGCTGCTCAATTATCCTCACGAGGCTGAGTGGACCCCGTTCCAGACCCACTACTCCTCATAAAATCTGGTAGCGCCGGGAATCGAACCCGGACCTCTGGATCTGTAGCCAGGAACTCTGACCACTAGACCACAGAGGCTGTCTGAAGTGATATATGTATGGGGGACAATATGATCAGGTGTCAAACTTTAATAGAAGTGACTTAGTCTGGCCAGGCAATACTATTTGAAAGATGTTGGCGATTACATATGTTTCTGTTTTCAGGTCCATCACGTAGTTGGGCTGCTCTGAACGGATCAGATGAATTGGGATCTAACAGTCTCCCACATGACGAGGATTGTTGCTATCCAATTCCAAATGATACCCCCAATTCCTCTCCCACCCCCTCAGATTCTGACAACATACTGAATATTACATCACTGACTTCCAGTATCAATGGTGCTTTTCCCTCATCCAAATTGAAACGGCAACATTCAGGGAGCTCAGCTGATGAAGAGGGAGACACATCAGATATACCGCAATTCCAGTCACGTGTTCAAGAGCCACAAGTACAACTGTGTGGTTGTTCATCGCCTCCAACTCCTCGACCTAGAGAACTGATGAGGACGCCACAGTTTGGTGATGGAAGTTGTCAGCGTTCCTCTGAGGTAGTGGCCAACAGCAGGCATTATGATGATATCAGACAGTCATTCAGTGATGATTCAAGTCCAACACCTGTTCGTAACAGTACGCATGATCAACGAGATGAACAGGAGAGACCTATGTCTGAAAAAGATACAAGAAGAACCTCCGTGACTGGTGAAGAGCAGAAAAGAAACTTAGCGCTTGGACGTAATGACAGAGAAGGTTCTCTGACTGATGATGACCCTGGTACTTTATCAACTGCATCTGTAAAAGGAAGTTCAGGGGACGACGGCGTCGATACAGAGCCGTTGTTCAAGAAGGTCATCTTAAAGAAGCGGCGTGTGGAGAGTCGTCGATTGGTGCATGGAGGAGGTGAGTTGAAAGCTTCCTCATACATTATTTTACTCTTTAGATTTCCTACCTGTTGCTACGTATTTTGTTAGAGGAGAACTGTAAGTTGTACTGTATGAAGTAACGTAATGGAGTGATGTCAGAGAGAGATCACATTTCTGCTGTAAGACGGCCATTAAGGAACATTGTTTAGGAATGACATGTAATGGCGTTTTAGACGAAAATTATCGCAGTCGGTATATCGACTGGCTAACAGCTGGATGACCGAGGGGTCCAAGTTCCGAGTCCCGGTAGGGTCAAGAATTTTCTCTTCTCCAAATCGTTCAGACTGGCTCTGGGATCCACCCAACCCCCTATCCAGTGGGTACTGGGGGCTCTTTTCCCGGGGTTAAAGCGGCAGGGGTGTGAAGCTGACCACTCACCTCCAACTTGTGCCAAGGTCAAGAAAATGTGAATCTATGCATCCACCCCCACCTACGCCTTCATGGCATTGCTAGTGGGGTGGGAATAAGCCTTTTGCACTGTTGCCACTTCTGGCCTATTGTACCAGCCCCAGATGACAGGTGAGGGTGATTGTGGAGCAGTTGGTGGAATGAAGATTGGCAGGGGAAACCGAAGTACTCTGAGAAAACCTGCCCCACCGCCACTTTGTCCACCACAAATCCCACTTGACCAGACCCCGGGCCTCCACGGTGGAAAGCCAGCAACTAACCCCTTGAGCTATGGTGCGGCCAAAATGCCTTCATGGCGTAGTGCTTAATTAGTTAAGCATAGTATATTTTTATAATGCTTTTAGTTACAACATGTTTACTCCCAGTCCTAGAGCAGGGGCAGTAATGAGGTCCTGGAGAGGGGACCTTCAATTTAATATGGACTTGTGTAACCATGATTGGGTCTTGCATCCCTCAGAGTCATGTACTTTTGAATTCTTGATAGGTGAAATATGGAATGAAGTGATTTGAAACATGTGATATTTCTTTGATAAATATTTGGGAAATACTTTTCTTTTTAAAATCGATTAGTGCCCTCATACAGCGTGGAAGTGTTAAAGGCACTTTAAAGAAAATTCAGAGACCAGCACCACATATAAAGATGTTTTCCAATTTTGGTTTCTAGTGTTCTGGTTTATGATGGCATGTTGTCATATAGGTGAAGATGTCATCATAATCCAGAAGATCCCAATTTAAATTTTCACAGCAATGAAAACGTTGAATCTCATATTCTTCATTTTATTTTAAAAAATCCAACCTCAGAAAAATTTTTACAAGAAGATTTCAGGGACAAAATTCCATATGTTTTTCATGGGTTATTTAACGATGCTTTCAGTAGTGAGACAGTATAGCATCTTATGATAGATAACTGATGAATTAGTAAGGATTGGAAGGAAGCAGTCATGGCTTAATAGAGGTATTATCCTTGCATTTTCCTTTAGGGACTGAGGAAGATCACAAAGAACCTCAGAGAGGATATCCAGTGCCCTGCCCTAGATTCGAAACAAGAACCTCCCAAATACACAAGTCTGTAGTGTTATCTCTAGAGCAATGGATTAAATAGAAACAAGTAATAAACGTAACATTGTAATGGACAGATTATAAATGTTCATGTATACAAGATTTGAGATCTTCATGGTGGTGAAGCTGCGGTAGGACAGGCAAAATATCAGAATTTACTGATAATCGTAATCTCTCAGATTTCTGATTCTGTATTCCCAAGATAGAGAGTTCGTGGAATAGTTTTGTTTGTATATTGCAGAAATGTGATAAAACTATATCAGTATTTTGTCGTTTGTATATTTGTGAGCTAAAGATAGCTAGGATACAAGCGACAAACCTCATTTCATCAACAGTAAATTGTATTTATTTAATAATGATATGTATCAACAGTGACAGATATTTGAAGGGTTAATATAAGTTTTTGTCAGGAAGTAGGTTTCTCTGTTTTTATATAAAAAACAAAATCAGTTTATATTTTAAGTGTTGAATGTTAACTGGCTTGGCATTTAGTGTATAGGATCTAGCATTATTGATTGGCCCAGCTGAGTAGGTTTTTACATGAAGACGAAGACAGAATCCAGTGTCCGAAATGTCGTGTTTTAAATAAAAAAACAGTGATGGGTAATGTCCTAAAACATAATAATTGTATGCAGTTTGTAGCTATGTCAGGCCTCACAAGTAGATTAACATAACCATATTTCAGCTAATGATATCTTGCTCCAACAGAGATGCTGACTTTCTTTTTGTCTTATAGAAATAAAAAGTTATCTTGCATGCGATTTTCATAACTTGACCTGCTTGTTGTGTGGGAATATTATCCAATTATTTCAGTGCATTGGTTCTAAGAAGCAGTGACAGTGGCTGCTTGTTTTCATGTTAATGTACCTGAACACTATTTAAGGAAATGTGACATTCTCTTAACCAGCTGCCATTGGCAACTGTGCATAATACAACATAACAATGATAAATGTATTACTGTTAAAATAAGGAATGGTTAATCGTTTAAATCATTATTACACTAATAAATAAATTACTAAAATGTCAGTGAGTTTGATGTGCAAAGAGTGAAGATTGCAAGTCTGATCTACCTGAGGTATGAGATGAAATTAAAAAGCAGACAAAAGTAGCAGTGCTGTTGTAACTGAATGTCTTAGGCAGTCCATTTAACAAATGGGTGATAAACTGTTCGGCCAACCCTGGAACCACACTCTGGTAGACATGTTGCATAATGAACACCATGCAGAGATAACTGGACAGAACATAAGCTTTAAAAATGTACTGAAATGTATGTAGTTTCGTGTAGTTTAAAATTTTCTTTGTGTGTTGTGTCAGGTTTTGAGCATGAATTGTTAAACTAAATTAATACAGATTCTAATGATTATCTAAATGTTTAAGCCAGTGAATCATTCATTATGCTACAGTTATGTTGGATATTGTTCCATTATCTAATGTATATGCAATGTTTTGGAAGTTGATGCTGCTTTTGTATTCATGTGATGAGTTATCATTATGTTGACAGATTTTGGGGGAGTAATGTTAATAGCTAGGATTAGATCTAGGTCCTGATGATCTGAAGGTTAGCATGTGGGTTTAGCATTTAGATAGTTTGTAATGCAGTCCTGAGTACAATTCAACCCAAAAATAAATAAAAAATATTTCTGTCTAGGAAGGAGACCACAGGGAAGACCAAGGCATAGGTGGGTGGACAATATTAGAATGGATCTTAGAGAGACAGGATGGATTGGTATGGATTGGATAGATATGGCTCAGGATAGGGACCAGGAGGGCTCTTGTGAACACAGTAATAAACCTTCGGGTTCCATAAAATACTGGGAAATTCTTGAGTAGCTACAGAATTGGCGGCTCCTCCAGAAGGGTTCAGCTCCATGAGTAAGTAAGTAAGTAAGTAAGTAATGATGATCAATCTCCTGAAGACAAGAGCAGAGTCAATTCCCAAAAACTGTATATATATGAAATATGAAAACTTTAGACATTGGAGCAGGGACCAAACATTTTTCCCTTTTTAATTTAGTAGCGCCACAGATATTTTAGTTTCCTCACCTCCAGTCTTCACAAGATTAATTTTTCCATTTTGTACTGCTTGGTCTAACACATGCAGGCCAGATATAAGATGATGACTAAAAGCCTGCGTTTAAAATAGAAATCAATTGTAATGAATGACTAATTATTTTGATCATAATTTCTTTTGGTGTGGTTCTTCGTTTCCTGTGTTCCACAAGTGACCACATGAGATCGCCGAACTCCAAAAAGTCAAATACCCAACACCAAATGGGCAGTTAACGCCAGCCAAAACTTTATGTTAACCACTGGAAACCAGGTGAAAATACTTTTGTTTCCTGCAGTGTACAGTTACAAAATCTGCGAGGGAAGTGTAAAAACACCTCATCTGATTGTTGACAGGAGTTACATCCCTCCATTTTTACTCACCACTCTGATACTGAAAACGAGGAATTGAAGTTAACTGATTGATTTGTTACTGTAGTAATGAAAGCCTTTAAACTTTTTACCATTTACTGGAAAAGAAATATTTAAATTTTTAACATAATTTAAAGCTTTGGGGGGAATATTTAGTTCTTTAAAGCGAAATATAAAACCATGCCAAGAATGTTTGTTTTTATGAGTATAGGCAAGGAAAATGTTTATTTTTAAAAAAATATTACAAAACTTCGGCAAAAATACTTGGTTCTTACACTTGAGTAATATTTATTGTGTATCTTTAAAACAAAATATGCTCCATGTAGAACATAAACCTAAAATAAAAATTCCACATACAATTTGTGTGCAACAAACATGCCTGTTGAGCCACAGAGAATTTAATGCAATTGTTGCATTGCCTTTCTATGTGTATGCATCTGTTAACGTAAAGTTGAAGGAATTTTGAGGCGATGTGAAGAGCTGAAATTCAGAATCCCTGTCACTGCTTTCTAGTACCCAATCCTATCTTTCATTAATATTAATGAAAAATAATTTGACTGTTGTGTCTCGCTGTAATTATTGCAAGGTTTCTTGTAAAGTCATTATGGGCTTGCATGTTACTACCAAGTATTCTTTTACATATAATATTACATACTATGGTATGTCAGTGTATGCATAAAGACAAAAGAGGTGGTTGAAAATATTTCTCCTGTTGAATGTATAGTTCCCTTGAGCTGCTAATCTCTACTGTGCCCATATTTAAATGTACTTTATTTATGCAGAAACCCCATACACGTTGTCTATTGCCTGTGTTGTATGGTATTATGAATAGTTTGCCAGAAATGGAGTGACATAATAATTTGGCTCTTCAGGGAAGAGTATGGATTGGATTCATTTGGCACAGCAGGGACCAGTGGCAGGCTCTTGTGAACTTTCAGCTTGCATGAAGTGCAATTTCATGGCCAGCCAAGGAAACATTAACAGTTAGATAATTAGTTAGGTCCTTGAGTAGAATACATTACTTTGTTTTCTATAATCTGTACCATTGGAAGTACGAGTATATGCAGGATCTGTCTGATATTAAGATGTTGT